GATATTTTTTGTTCGTCGTGTCATTTAATATGCGGCGCCTGATATTATGATATTATGCTACAACAATTACGTGTAATTACGACCAATAACAGGGCAATTAATAACGGCCTGAAATTAATATCATTTATTGTAATCGAATTACTACGCTAGGTTGCCTACGTTATCGACTAGTTGCCTGTCTTGTGTGAAACAAGCAAATAAGATATCAAACCTAGACTAGTATATATAGTCTAGTCTAGAATTCAAGAATTTTGAACTTATGTCATGTCTAAAAAATCTCAGTTACGTTAACTTGCCTTAAAATATTTAGGTACGGTAACGCCGAGTAATAAAAACACAAATTCGAATGTACTACACTATTCGACCACCGATGAGAAAGCCGTAAAGCATCTTTTGATTATAATGTATAGACTATCCAATGTCTAAAGCCAAAATAGGTGGACGGTGCATCAAAATTTGATTTAGGGTTTTTTATTTCCAGTCAAGTGAACAAGTATGTCTGTCCTGTGGCAAAAAACACCTTATGCGTTTTATTAAAAACAATCTACGAAGTGCCTATGAACTAGTCAATTTCAAATCACATCGAACCAAATAGGTAACAAATCACCAATGAATTATGAAGTAAACATGTTTTATGATTAATTGCAGTCACATCCTTCAAGGAACACAGGGTCACGGATGGAACAATCAATATTGTGTTAAGTGTCGCTAAGTAATTTGTATTGCCTGACTTGTCCACACTTCCTCAATTAATTTGAAGGTGGGCGGTATACCGAGTGAGCGGTGTCATAATCCTGTACAAAACTTAATATAGAATTTAGGTATCTCGTTGAATATTAATCTTTTTTAGTAAAAATATAATACAGAATTAAGAAAAGGATCATTTATTTTTTTATAACTATATAAAATAAGTACCGATTACTGCATTTTAGACTCAGGTCAAGCAAATTACGAATTAATTTAATTAAAACCTATTAAACAGTTAAACTGAACGCTTCACATGTACTTGCAGAAACGTAAGTGAACATTTGTCAAAAATGTTTCATTGAACTGGCTTACGGGAATTTGATATACGTGAAAAAATCGTTAAATGGCATTAAATATTATAACTACGTTGAGTTGAGTTGAGTTAAAGAAGAACACATATTCAAACTTTATAATACACATGGGCAATATGAACTTCTAAAAAGATCTAGATAAAAACAAGCAGAATTATAAAAATGCCTACCTCAGAAAGCAATCAATCTTATTTGCGTTAACCGGCAATTTGTTAACATTTTAACTACTTATTATGGTAAATTAGAAACACACCAGTGATTTATCTATCATCGTGTTAATATAATAATAATAAATATTGTTATTTATTCATTATTTTAATTACTCGTTGTATATACATCTTGTATTATATCTTGCATTACTAAATACGACGTATATTATTCGATAAGTTTTCGATGACAGATAAAATTTATTTAAAAATATGTTTTTAAAAAAGACGGCGTAACAAATTATCGTTCGTGAAAATCAGCCAGTATTTTAAGTGCAGGGGTGAAACATATCGTTATATAACTGTTAATCCACCACAATAAAAAATAATTATTACAAAGATGAGGAAAATATTAACACTATGCCGTCGGACGATAAAAAGCATGTTTAAAAAGATTTTCATTATCTAATTACGAAAACAGACATAAAATCTCACTCAACTATTCACTACATAACGCGTTATGCAATTAGCATTTGGCATTTGAAATAACAGTATTTTCAGACACAATTTTGCGACCGTGAGAATGATTTTACAGGCGTCATAAAGCTATGCGATGAAAACTATTTTTTATGGCCGCAATAAAAATCGTGTGACAATGAAATGTGTGTATTGAAATAGCTTGTTTCATCTTGAAAATGATAACGAATTTTAACACAATTTATTAAAATTGTGTTGCTATGGCAAAGGGGCCTCCAGGTTTGTGTTATCATCATATAAATCCGAAGAGTTTGTTTGAACGCGCTAATGTCAGGAACTACTATTATTACATTAATTTGAACTGACGTACTAATATGCTCACTTATAAATATATGAGTAAATAAATATAGATATTATAAACCTAACCTAACCTAACACCATCAGAGGTCTAAAAATATATCGCTGTCCAAACTGTTGCATAATTGGGCAGGACTCTTCGCCTGGGAATGACACGTGTATTCAAATACATGCCCCATTTGCATTGTCCCCTGCATTGTATGCAACGCATTTGGGTGAAAGTGTCCTAATTGACTATTAATAAGCAAATAGATGACGGTTCTGGTGGTACTTTGGTATTGGAAGAAAGTTGAGGGCCATGTTTATTTGAATTGGGATATTTATCTGTGTTACCAACATATATGAAATATTATACATATTTACGTTAAGTTATTTATAATCGCCAACGAAGTGTTCCGTACTAGTATTTAAGGTACACAAAACATATATTTTAACTTTTTTTTATTTATTTTAAATACTTGTTACGATTTGTGGATATCGACAAACAAAAGGAAAAGAAAACGTCTTGTTTGAAATATTTAATATACTTTTTGTTTAGTTTTACATATTTTGTGTTTTTACAAATAATGAATATATTTATATAAAAACAATGTTATGCAATGGCCGTGAAAGCCTCTACAATTCATTTTAAATTTATTTGACTTATAGATCTATGAAGTCGATCCATGACGTTATAATTGTCAAATAAATTGTGTCTAATACCACATCATCGACTACTTACTGCTCTTAACCATTCGATTTGTCTTCGATTTGACTACTTGTAAATTTACTAAAAAAAGGGGACATTTAAGTGCGACAAAGAATTCTCAGTCTTTTATATTTCTATATTTGTAATATTTACTTTTCAATTATTATTTATTTATTTGCTTTTCGTTACAGCTTTTCTCTATCATGTTATGGTTTTTTAATACTATTTATCATTATATCATTGTCTTGCGGGCTGTTCGGCCGATGTGAGCGAGAAGAGGTTCTCGACGTTTCGCCATTCCGTGTGGACGGCATCATCAGGAGATGTTAACTCCTCGATTGCTCGAAGAATTAATTAATTAAATTAAGAATATATAAGCCTTACACAATTTACTATTTATCATTATTGATTATATCACTAAGGAAATAACCCGATCTTAATCACAATACAACCTTTGGATATTCTTGACACGTTTTGCTTTACATATTGTGTAAGCATCAACTGTCGCAGTTCTTATACCATCTTATACAGACACCAAGGGGGCATTTAGAGTTTGGAACCCAAAGGAATTTTAATCGTAAAATTACGTTGTACATGTGTTTTTTAAGTCTAAGTACTAAAAGTCGAAATGGACAAAGTTTAGGCTTATCATAATATAGAAGTTCATCAATATATTTATAAATACCGATTGTTTAAATAAAACACTTTAACGGTTTAAAACGCGTTATATTAGTTAAACTTAAATACCGGTTGTTTTAAACCTGGATCAATTACAATCTACCACAAATATGTTAACAAGATTACATAATTTATAGTTTTACCACTTTAACAACTTATTCTGTTCAACTACCAATTACATTTTTATTACATCAATAAATACAAACAAAATGTCCTGATGTCGGCACACAAGGACCAAATCGAGTTTTTGTAACGTGTCTATTTTTAAAGGCCTCAACATAAATTATATTAGGCCGAATCAAATGGCTTATTCGATTACATTATGTGTCGCTGTAATATGGAAAGGATTAATTAGTAGAAGAATTCGGTTTCAGTGCCTTTTTACTCTTGGCTAAGCTGCACAGCTGCAGCCGGGATGTTCTTTATAGGATTCGAGTTCAATCTGGTATAATTACCTATGAATACGAATTAAATTATCTTTCTGAAAGCGGGCCGTGGTTTTAACACCCTTGTGAAAAATATGTAAATTATTAACACTATTATTTAGTTGTGTAAACTTGTACATTATACTATATATTGCTTATTAATAACGAATATAGACTATTTTACAGATCTTATCACTAGCAAATACCGATAAGTACCAACACTGACCACCTTCTGACTGTATTAATTATTATCCAATTCAATATTTATATTGAACGGTATGATAAATAATTTATACGCTATGCTTTATCAAATTCTCTCATAGTTGAAATGTAATACTTTTAAGTCGTAAATGCGAGTACGTTTATTCCGAAACTTTGAAAGATTAGATTCAGTTGTAAATGTCAAGTAAATAAAATGTTTCTGACTTTACTGTGTAGTTAAAACGAAAGCTAGCTTCCTCTATTTTATTTGCTTACTAGTATACTAATTATTATAAAATACTATGTTTTATGGTTGGATGTATGTTTATGTAATTTCATATTCGCTCGTTCGGTCAACGGGACTAAGGTTTCATTCCCACCAAGTCATCTTTCTTAAAGATTAATTTATCCTTTTCTTCCACGTACACGTAAGTTTTCATCAGTCATATCTGGATATTAAATCGATGATAGGAATATCCGTCAAGAAGCGTGTTCCACAGATAGAAGATTCAACGACATTTCCGATTTTCTTTAACAAGACTGTGATCCTCGTCTGTCGTCAGCTGTCTTTAAAAAATATGACAACAAAAAAACTTATTGCCCTATCGGTCGAAAACATAGATTTATTTCTCGTATAAGTCACCATATCCTAGTAAATCGTTTAATCTCGTCAGCTGAATCACGTAGGTGGAACATAAATATTGAAAATCCGACGTTGCATTTATTTTTACGTCACCGCAATCACATCGAATTTGATAAGCGTAACCAACGTGCGGTGAATTTACATGCAAAAAATCCTTGATCCATGCGACGAGATCATGCGCAGAGATCATGTCAAAATTTGATATGGTAAAGAGTTGGGTGAATGCGACTTACGCTGTGTCTAATGGCGCGGGCAAAATATTACAGTCGGTATTAAAAATCAGAGATAAAAAAAAGTAAAAAAGGAATAGGGACCGGGGTTGGTTGACTATAGGGGTAGTAGACTAACTATCAAAAACTCGTTTGACGCAAAATCCTTGAGCCAACCAATGAGGGATGAGAGTTCGTCACCTTCCCCTTTTGCATCTGCATCGGCAGTGCGGCGTAGTTCACGCTCTTCGCTCCAACGAAGATCGTTAGAAGTAGGAGCAAGTCCAGCGAAGAGAGTAGGAGCGAAAATATTGAAGAATACCATAATTAATTATTTTTGTCGTCATGTTAATTGTAATAATGCGTATTTTTTCATGGATATTGATTGTCAAAAGTATTTATAACGAATGTTTGATTCATGTTCTTTCTTTTATCTATTATTCTATTTGATTTCCTCACAGTTTTAAGGCCATGACACGTGGTTCAAAATTAAAAGGTAGCTCGGGGCTGGTAGACTAATGTATAACGGGGTTAGTTGACTAGCTGAAATTTTATGAAAAAATTGTTTTTTTAGGACCTAGCGACGCTAATAAGGAAAAAAGTGACGACTATGAAAGTGAGGCGATGAAACATTTTGTTTGGAGTATAAACATATAATCAGAAATACAAATATAAACATTTAAGCAGACAATTGGTCAACCAACCCCGGTCTCCCCTAAATAGAAAAATAAAGACATCGTGTAAGGAAATTGTAATTAAGTTATGACAGTACTATATAGAGACCATGTCAATAAAACGGAAAGTGAAAAAAAAAAGGTTTTCCTCGCCGCGTTAATGGTTAGATGGCTTTCGAAAAGTTTAGCATTTCGGTAATCGTCGGCCCGGGGTTCTAATCTTTGAAAATAAATATAAATGAAATAATATATAATATAATAAGGTTATAAAGTCTGTAAACAAATATGATTAGTTGACGAGACACGTGAGGGAAACGGAATTACAAAAGCGTTTTTCTATTAGAATATTCGTGTTGAGTCCCTCTGAAGATAACATATTCAGTTATCTGAGAAAATCGACGTAATTACACAACAAACAATGTGCAGCTGAATTCGGTACATCATTTCGGTAAGTGTGGCAATGCGGACTGACCAGTTTGCACAAATCGTGCACCTGTGCTAATAAGCTGCAAAGATTAATAGAGCAGATATGACCGATGGAATCGAAATTTAAGTAAATTTCAATGTAATATGTGATTGTCTTAAAAAGAAACTCTTTTTTAGAAATTTACAACTTCCGAACTTCTTGTGATTGTGGACGATACAATTTAAAAATATGCGAATTGTATTCACACATAAATTAACTAACATATTTTGCGTTTGAGTCCGTTAAAAATGTTAAATTTAATAAGAAAGGTCATATTGTCAACTGAATTTCTTACTTAGTTATAAAATAAAATACCTTCATTTACAATTTGGAAAAACGCCCGAATGCACCGATCGATCTTCTGTTAAGTGTTTGCAATTTAGAAAAAACAAATGGGCGCTATCGCTACTTTGTAAAACAATTCCCATATTCATTTGTAACAAGTTGTTTTGGCTACAAAAAATGCAGTTGAGCTCTTCATTTGCCAACACGTACCTCCAATAAAAGATATAAATTAGGAATAGTACACATTGTTATATTATCAGGATAGATCAACAGTATTTTTTCTTTCTTCTTCTGATAAGATTATATGAGAAATTGAGACCAATTTCATAATATGTTTAAACAATAACAATTGAATAAATCAATCACCATAATAATCTTTGAGAATTAATACAGTTGGTACCAAAACGAATATGTTATTAAAATTCGTAACATGTTCCTTTCAGATATTTAATCGTTTGCAAATCTTTTAACGAATATAATTACCGAACGAGCTATAAATAAGATAAGACTGATTGTTGGTTCGTGGAACCCGGCTTCAGAGAAAGTTTTTTAAAGAAAGCACCATGGTCAAGTGGGAAAGTTCAACCCTTAAATTAATTAAAATGAAGTTGCCTCTATACTAACGTCAATTATCTTAGAAAACTGTAACTATTAATAACGCGAAACAAAAATACATTTACCTCATGAGCCTGACTTCAAAATGGAGCCACCTGAAACATTCTATTTGAAACGTTAGCGCAAGAATAATGAATGGGCAAATTTAGAATTTCTGACATTTTAATTAACAAAATTTTTAGGTTTTAAATTTCAGCTTTGGGCATGGACAAGTAAAGAACTGGAGTTTATACTTCTTACTGTTGTAAAATAAAAAAGTATGTTGATTAACTAACTATTCAAACTTAAGATAAACTCCTCAGACTATTTTGTCAAGCTTGTTGGTCTAATGGTAGTAATGTATGGCTAATAATCAACGGGTCGTGGGTTCTTCGACATGTTTCTAACTTTTCTAAAACGATTAGACTCGGAATATCGAAATTCCGGCCAAGGCTATGGATTTCCGAATATCCAAAGCCAAAAAAGGTCGACAGCGCATTTTTCTTAGATTTTATATCACCTTTCGTTGGTCTGTCCTCCTCTATTAAAAAAAAAACTTTGTACTTATACGTATTTTCACCTGAGCATGATAAACCACGAAATAGCTTATTAGAAGGCGAACGCGATTTTTTCAAGCCGAATACACCAAAGAGTAAAACACAACACTCCAAATTGGTTCGTTAAACGGCCGATAAGTATCGCCCATTATCCGAAAAATGTTTTTTAATAACTTATTTAGAACGCGGTATCACAAATCAAAGGCGAAATTTCATCGCACGCTAAGCAGGTGTAAATTGCTGTATTCAAAGTGTTCGTTCGTATCATCAATCTCAAATCAAAGTTTGTGGAAAAGAAGTTAACATTTAAGATTTTTAATATGAATATGGTCATTACATATAACATTTTGTTTGAGGACCTGGTAACGCTATACATTTGGTTCCTTCATTATGGACCAAATAAATCGACTTACTATGGATCTCACAACTTTTAGAGCAGAAGTTATGATAAGTACATATATCAAATTAATATTTAAACAAATCTGTACGTTTGTTTAACATCGCAAATTTAATATTGAAATGTATTTTGCTTAGTTTGGTATAAATATAGTTTGTTATGACAATTTGAATTTAAATGAAATTCCGAAACGACAATGATCACCGCGATTAAAAATGTGTGGAGTCTAATTAGCATAATTTTAAAAACATATCAACACGTTTCGGTGTGGAAATCTGATATCTGGAACTGTTATGTTGATTAATAGGGACTTGTTCGCGCCTACTTTACACTCGACGAGTCGTAGCAGAGAACAGGGAGGCAATTTTCAATCGTCAATAAATTGCATATTGATCCACAATTTTTGAATGAATGAGATGAATTAAAAATATCATAAATAAATTGATCTATCACCAATAATCGCCTCCGTGATTAAACTTGTTGTGTTTAAACACGAGTGCTTCTTAGTTTGAATATCGGGGAAACAATAAACTCAGTTTACTCCACAGCAAATAAAATCAATCAATGAAAATAAAATAGTACTTTGTATATATGTATTAGTTACATAATGCCTTAAGTTATACCAGATATCTTAATGTCACCGTCTGTTTTACAATCGTTCGCTTAAAAGGTTACCTATTTAAATGAATACACAGCAGTCAAGATTGGAATCTTTATAGTCAAATAAATTGTTAGTAGGAATACCTTATAGGCAAAATATAGGGCTAAGTTAAGTGTTATAAGTGATTTTAGTTTTCTACTTAGAAATACTTCTTTCTATTCTACCCTTTGTCGTGGTAATTTGTATGAAAAGTTAAGCGTTTCAAACGATCGTGAGACAACCTTGGTCGCGGTGGAACTAATAGAAAGCGTGCCTAATGTCTCAGTAAAATCTTCTACGCTAGCGCCATCTGTTAAGTCGTAATTAATATTTGTAGAAACTAGCTGTTTTTAACTGACTATATTTAGTACGATTACGAGGAAAAAAGGTGATATTTTTTTCTCCATTTTTCCTATTTCTTGCTGTATCTCCACTCCAATTAGTTTTAGCGCTATGTTAGCCTTCCTCGATGAACTGAACGATACTACAAATTACGGTTTATAAAATGAATATAAATATGAATATAAGATTTGTTGTAACAATTTCAATGCCATTAAAAAAAGAAATGATAAATAATAAAGCGTTTGAGCTTCGTATTAATCTCACGTTGATATACTTTAAGACAAACGATAAATTTTATTTGAATTTTATCTTCAGATGTTCCCGTGAAACACCTCATACCATAATTCATGAAATCGTTTCTGTCAGTTATTTTGTGGAATATTTTAGAAAACGTAAACGTTATCACTGGTGGGGTTTTAACATGAATTATTTTTTTCTTATACCGTATACATTTTGGGAAATAGTTCTAATATTACATTGTGGACCCTCATTATTGTACTTAGGACAACTGTAGTAAAGCGAGTACCGCTTTTAAATTTTAGCTTAGTTAAAAAGTAATATTCATTCAACCGTGTTCAATTTATATTCACATAACGATTACCCCGTATCCAAATTCTTCGTAGTAATTTGGATGAACATAATTCCATTGATTGCTCATAAAGTGGCATAAGCTTCGATACCGAGAGTTTCGGTGACTGCAAGCAATAAATGCGATGAGGACATTCTGAACTCTATTCCTCAGAAATAAGGTCTATAATATTATATCTATCATAAATGAGTGTTTCTGATTATATCAATTATTGCTTTGTGTGGTAAACGGTGAGGAGTAAGTTTTTGCCACTTGGTCACGATTTATTCGTTAATGTGAAGTCACGGCCCGTGATTTAGGTTTAGAGGTTAGTAGTTCAACCCTTTGGGGACATTTATAATTTTCAAGTTCCGTTATTTTGGGGAGGTTTTGGTAAAATACATAGGATGGTTTCCCATAAGAGCGGTGAAGATATGTCAATTTGTTGTTAGTTACGAAATGATTAAAACTCGGTCAGATACAAAGCTTCTAGTCACACACAAAAAAAATAAGTATGATTCTGTTATGACGGTAACAGAACTGCTCCCAATATGTAAAACTCATTGTATATCTAACTTGTATTGAAACAGACAAGAAGCGGAAGATTACTAACAGAAACATAGCGATCCAAAAAATAGCTTCTTACTTACGATTAAAAATTAGTATACGATTACAAATTTAGTATGTGCAAACTTTCAAAATAATTTAAAATTAGCCCTTCTTTCAAAATCGCAAAAAGAAACAGAAGATATTTAAAGATACAATAAACATTTTTCCACTTAACGAGTTATGGACCGCGGCAGATAAAAGACGTGTTTTAAAATAAATAAATTATTCTCAAGAGACGCTACTGGTAAGTTCCACATGGAACTTTGGGGATGTATTGTACTTCTTTAAATAAACAAAAGTTCTACTGATTCTAGAAAAATGAATATGGTAGACTGAGAAATATGGGTTTAATAAAAAATATAACTCCATAAGATAGAAAAAGTTTTTGTTAGAAATAAAAGATAATGTCGATGAGTTAATGTTAAGTAAATAGTAATGTGTGAAACATATAACAAACAGTCCACTACTTATTTTATAGATAATCCTTATCTCCTACTGTTCTGAATATCCTGTGCTATTGTATTCGCAAGTCGTGTCTCGTAAATTTTTTGAATTGCACGTTTGCGTCTATACAGTGAACAGACTGACAAATCTAACGTATGCCAAGTTTCCTAATGTTTATGATCTGTATAATGCTAGTTGTGTGGTCTGAAATAGAAACGCGTCAGAGGCATATTTAATATTGGTGGAAGGCATAGTCGTGGCGGCAAAATTATTGCATGATAAAATCGGTTATTGTTATAAATTATCATAAAATATTTGCTATTTGTAGAGTAAGAAGCTAAATTTATAGCAGTATAGTAGTAGTTTTCCATCTTTACATTTACCTAATTAAACAGAATATCTGTTTAGTAAATATAGCATAGCTATACATTTTTATTTCAAAATTGTAGCTAAGTATTTCAAAGCATTCCGTTTTGGAAGTTTTGTATGGCGTTTTCTTGTAAAACAATAGATTTATGAGCTTTTATGTAACCTAAGCTGAGATCGAATCAGGAACAAAAACACACTAACAAAAATAAACTTTATTGTTCTTCCCACTTCAGATTTGAGATATCTTGAAATAGGCTGCATATTGAAGATGAAGAATGTATGGATTGTCCTGCGATCGAATTCGATATTTACTGCCTATCGTGAAACTCACTATTCAGCCATTTTGTTGTTATTTTTATTAACGTCAGAACTTTACCACCTCAAGTCGTAGCTAACTGTTTTGCAAGAAATTTTCTATACGAGTCTGTCTCGTATGGAAACTAGCGATGGGCGTACATTTAGACAATCAATAAAAGCATTAGCAATATACCGACGTCCACGTCGTTAATAACGCGTAAAGCAATAATTATCATTTCAAAATTAAGATTAATAACTACAACAAATAAATTAACAAAAAGCTAAGCAACGTAACAAGGTAATTTTAGAATCGTAATAAAAAACGCAATATATTATACGAAACGAGTGAGAAATGGCTGCGAGCACAGAAGTTCAATATTGCAACCGATTAGAAACCTGATTTTGAGGACACCTTAATTTCGTGCGAAACGATCTGTTAAGAACGGTTCGATAAAAATACAACAACATTCTCAACGCGGGGAATTTAATAATTATTATTATGTGTCATACAGATGTATATTTAATGCAGTCAAATGATCGAAACGAAATGCCATAGGTAATAAGCTTAGCTTCCCAGTTTCTTGTGTTACACTCAGTACAAAGTAAGCCAGACCACCATAGAACAGCCTCAGGCAGCTCAGATGATAATTGAGTCATTATAACAATTTGACAGCAACGTAGCCAACAAAGTAGTAATTATCCCAGATTGAATTTAAAGCCGTATACAGTTATAATTCCACCGTGAAAAGTATTGTTAACTTTTCTAATTATAACGGACTTCTTAATTATATTATTGTTCTTTAACTTATAGCCAGCAATGAGCTAAGTAGACACGAATTAATGCTCGATGTGGACGTGGGTTTGAATCCCATTTTTAGGTAATAAATAGACGAGCTCGTTGGTTACATAGCATTATATGACCAATAACAACGGATCTTGGGTTCTATCCCCACCGAAAGCAATTTTTTACATCTGAATATGAATCAGATCACGAACCACCAATTGGATTGAAAACTGTGAACTTTCATTGATATACTTGAATGATCAAGACCAAAATTGGTTGATTTTTTAATAAATGTTATAGGTTTAGATATGTTCACCCTCCACCAAGTAAAGTTCTATGTGTCACGTAAGTATAACGTTTTATCTTGATAACTTAAAATCGTAGTCCAACAAATTTCCTTAATAAATGAAGTTTTATTGTAACTCTGCTAATCTGTCTAGACCCAACAAGTATAAGAAAAATGTCTACAACCCGTCTACACGCGACATTAGAAAAAAGCTAATTAACATGTCTAGATCGTTGTCTCTATAACAAATATTTGGTCATTTGCAATTTTGCAATGACTGTTTTTGTGTGCGGCAATAGTCGTATTATACTCACTACAATAAATATAGTGGCAAAGAAAATTCTTCATTATGGAACTGTCACTTCCCACCTTTGAAACGAGTCGAGATCTTACTTCGGAAGTCGATTAAACCTTTCAATAAATATAAATTCATACTAAACATTAGAATTTGATTGTTTCGTTGTTCGTAATTAATTATTTTTGCGAACGTGTTTAAAATATAATTTCTTTTTAACTACCTTCATTTAGCATAAATCATTTGAATTTTGGTTTATATCACGATCGCTTTGCTACCATTACGATATAATTTTTTATCAAAACAGTCGCCAAATACGGAGCGGCAGATCTAATCGAACTTGTTTTTCAAGTATTTAGCAGATCTAAATGGGCAAAAACATTCATGCAGTTCGTTTTTATTATTAATTTAATTGCTTCAACAAATTTATATTTCTTTAAGTCAGATCGAGGAGAAGATTTATAGTCTATTACCGAAACCTCGTGTGTGTTTTAAATTTTTAGTACTTTGTACATGATATGTATGTGTCAATAAATTAATGTACGCTAATACATTACAAACAGCAGAACTTACACACGAAAACTTACAGCAGTGAAAATTTAAAATATCTGTAATTGTGTGTCTGTACTTTTTCTAGTTAGAGAGAAATACTCACTGTAAACGCTGTTGCCGTCTGTGGTACCGTTGACGGTGCCATCCGGCAGAAGCTGAAGATAGCGATTCTTGAGGAACATCTGTATTGTACGCGAGGTGCCCGTGATGTGGCTCAGGTTCGCCGAGCGTTGCGCGCGCGGCTCGGGCGCAGGGGCCGCCGCGCAGGAGGCTAGCGCCAGCGCCGCAAGAAGCAAGCGCAGCGGGCGCGAACGCGGACGCATGGCGCGCCGCGCCCATTGCAGCCGCCCGTTCGCCGTCACTGCTCGAACTGTGCGCAGAACACGCACCCACAACGTCACACGAGCCAAATCTACGTACTGTCTGTCATCGCATTCAGTCTCGCGCGTAACCGAGCCCTAAGTTTGATATTTGTAACATTGACAGTTGGTGGTTTTTTTTTCAGGTGTCAGTTCGTTTCGTGTGCCGGTGCCTGCAGCTCAAGTAATACATAATGAACTAATATTGCACCACGGGTGTACCTTACACCGCAATGTGAGGTTTTGCGGGCTTAGTATCACAATCTGAAACAAATAAATGTCGTTATTAATAGAGTTGCGGCAGCAAATTGACTAAGTTTGTAATGGATATACGATAGAAATAAGAGCAATGTAACTTATACCGGCTACTAACTTGATTACAATGATATAATTAAAACCAATTCTGTCTCGTTAAATATTCGTTTCAAATCCATTGTTATCACCAATTGCTCTTATGATAATCCCAAATGAGGAAGATAATAGCATCTAGAAGCGCGGTTATATTCTTATATAAAGAAATCTCTAAACTCAAATCGAAGTACCTACTTATATATGCTTAACGTTGCTCATCATACAACAAATAGATTGAATAAAAATAAGAATAAGCCCTTTAACAAGTAGCTTATGGCATAGCAAGGTCGCTCAATATAGATAGTTTTCATAAGTAACGACTAGTTCTGGTTATTCATTTGATTACTTATAACCTAAATGCAAAGACCTTATTCTACAAATTATACACTTTCAATTTGTATCGTGATTTTGCAGCGTCGCTTAATTAAAAGATAACTTTCAACACAACTTTCATTATAGAGTTAACGAATTTGTGCCACCGAGCAATTATTTCTGCGAAGTAAATGTTTGATTAGTTATTGTAAGAAGAGGACTCATCAGACTTGAAAAGGTAATTTATTCGTATGACCAATCTAGGTACGGAGCGTTACCCTTACGGTACCAATCCTTCAGTTTTAGATTGTGCTGCGCATTAACCTGATTGAGTCCCACCAGGTCTTATATGTTAGATTTCGACTGGTCTATCAAATGTGTATGAATGAAATGGTAGAAATATCTAAATTCCCACCCGGTCCCAGATGGAAAAGCCAAAAAGCAAAATTGCATTTCGATTTCTATAAACTTTTGAGCGCTTATTGTAAAGATACTGTTTGTAGTTGAATATAATAATTTAACGGTTTAAAATACGAAATATATTAATTAAACTAGGTCACTGGAGACACAGATGGTACAAAGCATCCGAAACGTCAGGTTATAGTTAAAAATAACTTATAATAGATATTATCATTTGGCAAAAGTATCTAATCTTCCAAGTAATACTTGTATATCCTCCTCTTACAAGAATATAAGGTATGGAGTTGAGTAAGAAGAGAACTAGCAACTCTTAAGACTTTTTTATAATAGAGAACCGAGATTGCCTATTGCATTTTTTGTGCACTAATTAAGAGTGAACGCAATCATAACCATTGTTAATGACTCGGCCGACAGCCACTAACAAGTCTCGATCCCGCTCTCATCAATCTGTCATTCGATCCTGAATGAATTAGCGAGGAATGATTGAGCGGATCATAATTGACGTCTCGAACCACATTTTAATGCTCGCTTTTTGCGTTCGTTCATTAAAATATATATTAGGCATTTATGGGATTCTCAGCAGAACGAACGCCTCATAAGATAATAAATATATTTTTAACACGTTTGTTTTTTGTCTCAAAAAGGTAAGAAATCGACGAAAAAATCACTGTTTACATTATTTCTGTAAATAAAAGATGATATTGTTGGCCTCAGTAATTACTTATTAAAATTCACTTAAGACAAAGATAAGTTAATAAACAAATAATATTGATCAATTATGAGTATCTTAATAGCATTTCGCCACATGATTAAATACTTCTTTAAACTCAATAACAGAAGCTTAGATATAAAAAAATGTATTTTTAAATTACATACTTATATTATTCATCTATTAAATGGCCCTGTGTGTATAACGCTTAATACCAATCCTATATACACTTTCCTCGGTATTTGCGACTAAAAATGTTGTCGGTATTGTGAATGTTCGCCAGAAAAGAACCTAATACCATTTGTATGGTAAAATTAAGCTTGTGTTTTTAGTGTCTTACTCGTATTTCGTCAAAAACAATAAACGAATACAAACATTTATAAAGCAGGAAGGATCAGGTAAATCGGCCCAGCGATTTAGCGAAATTGCCTTAAACGTAGAATTATTTTATTACAATTCCACGTCTACAATTTCGTCCGGAAGACACACTTTGTTCTCTAGAAATAGATTAAACAATACCCGCTTCTAAGAATAAAATTTCATCACACCAATCCTAAAAGCGACATTTAAAATATGACCAAAATAATAAAAGTGAAATTGACTTGCCAGCTCTATAAATTCGATCATATTTTATAATCTGTCACGCTTTTAATTATTATTATAGTCGGTGGCTGTAATATATTTTGGGTAAGAGTCAATTTGACAAAGTCTATACTTAGAAATTAGGAGTTATCTATTATAAGATTAACTTGTAGGCGAGATGAAGCGTGAAAAAAAATAACACGGTTTTTGATACGGAGTTCTTCACAGGTGTTTCGCTCGCGTCAACCATATTTTGCCAGCTGTCTATTGATTCGAAAAGGATTTTTAGGCCTTTGGACCCAAACCCAATTGCCACATGGTGTATCATGCAAGTGCTCCACTACTGAGCAACCAAGTCTGTTCAATCTTTATCTTGACGTACATTGAGGGTGGGCTTTCAATTGAACTGTCGTGATTTTATGAACTTTCTTCGTTAGAAACGAGTTGGGTCAAACTGGTAACAATACACTTGGTATGCTATGCTTACGTAAGCACGTCACATCTTATCAGGTGTAAACTCACACCTCACTCCAAACAAGTTAACACTGATTCGCATTCGCTCGAGATCAATGCAGTTTAGTCTAAGAGCTTTTACATTATCATCATATTGCCTTTAGTACTATCTTGAATTTTAAAAGATTTAGCCTTCAAGCCTAAAAACTAGAAACATATAAGTATATTCTTTTTAAATTATTAGCAGGGTTATGAAGATGTGTAGGCAATATATAAATAGACGATCCAAGTAAATCTATGTTAAAATATTTTGGACCTGCTTGATTAATATGCTACACAAACATCTCTTAGACTATAGGGAAATGTCAAAGCACTTGAAGTGTAAACAAATTCGATACATTTAATGTAAGACGACGTAATTTAGAAGTTCATGAGTGGATTTTTATAGATCGACTCTTTCTTCATTCTAGCGGTGACATACGCGAACTAATTAAAACTTTCAAAATAATAACTATTAATAAACAATTTGTAAGAACAATTTTAAGCAATTATATATATTATTCGCGTTAAACGACAAAAGTATACAGGTAATATATTAATATTGTTTCTTCAATCTAACGGCCTATATACATACACAATACACATAACAATCAGAACGTCTAAGAAATCGTTATGTATCTATAGTTGTATACAGTGAATAATTTTAAACCCTTAGAAATAATAGACCGAAGGCGATACGGAAAGTAACATCAGTGTCGTTTTAAAATGAGAGTTTCGAAGCTGCCAAAATTTCGCCGAAAAAACTGTCATTTAAAAATATTCTAGCTTACTAATTGCCGTGGGTAATTCTGTTTATTATACGTCACAGGTCATTGGCCTCTCTTATCGCCCAGTTTCACAGATTATGTATTAACATTTTTCCAAAAGTTTTCATATCGAATGGATTATTACAGTTTATACTTTCTTTTAACTCATATAGGTCGACGATTGTCAAGATACGAGTATATTGAGAAAATGTTGTACTTCTAGAGGCGCAATTTGGGATCGTTTTACATAGGCAAAATGAGTTACCATAGATTTATACATGTATGCATGTGTTATTTGAGACACTTGCACTAAGGTATTTCAATAAACATAGCTCGAAACACGTCCAGTATTTAAAGATAAGCTACAGCACTGTAATAAACGTATTTTTCTTGACATAACCAGTCAATCAAACACTACTTTTAAAAATATAAAACCCATCTCATTTTTACAAGATAACCTACAACTAATGTGTAAAGATAGGAAAAATTAATTAGTAACATAATTGCCTGTAAAAGTAACAGTTATTTGTTTGTAGAACACACATAATTTAAAGTAAACTTATCATACTATACCTTAAACTAAAAACTACCGTTAACATACTTTTAGAAATAACTTGTGTTGAGGCGAACTTTTCTTCGTATATAGTTGAAGTATGCTTGATTGAATCTACAAGTTATACTACATAACAATATTAAATGCTATCAATATAATACGTCACTGTCCCACCGCTGGGCACAAATCCCCTGTCACATAAAAGAAACTAGCTTAAACCCAACCGCTACAGAGTAATTTTAACGACTGTTGACCGACGGACAAACGTGCAATCCTAGCCATGGCTGAAGAACAAGTTTTCTTAGGAAAATTCCAAATATTAAATTTTCACCCGGGTTTCGAAGCACGGAACTCGTTATCCGCAGGCACGTGTACGAAGCTGTTGGAAACGTAAAGTCAGATTGCAAATAATGAAATAATTAATTTTGTTATAGGTTTAAATAACCTATCAAAACTTTTCCTATCTAAGAATGTCAAATTAATCTAGAAACTACTATTCTAAGTATTAATAAGAAAATTGATAAGTTCACAATATAACTTATCAATTTACTACACACATACAATCCTGGCGCATAAATATTTAATGGACAATAAACTTTTGCAATATTTATGTAAGCAGCTCGTAGTGTGTAAATGTTGGCGGTCTAGTACACAAGGTATCATTTTTAGTATATTTACAAACATTCACTTGTAGTAATTCAATTTGGTATATTGACATTGATAAATAAGCACTAGTAGTAGATATAATTACTAATTACCCTCCATTTTATTTATCTAGGCCAAGGCTGAGAGCGATATCGATTGTCTATTAAATTCAATTTCTAGAGCGCATTCTAACATTGTTGCCAAACTTCAAATTTAATTAAAAGTATTTTGCTACAGATAGCCATGCCATTTAAGAATTAAAGTATTATAGATAATACAGTAAGGCGTCGGTAATCTGGCAATGAGATTAACGGGTAGGTGCAGGGTGTCATGCATAAGCCAACACCAACTTCGACGGAACAGATGGCGATAGGGTAGCAATTTTGATTTCGTTTGACGTCAGAGTCATCCTCCATCTTTAGACTCTATGTGA